TGTCTTGCTTAAGGTCATTAATAAACTTCATTCCTGAACTTGTTTATGAGGCTCTGGAGATAGCGCTTTATGTCTATTGGTGCCGTGTCTGCTATTGCATGTTTCTCAGGATTGGGGGCTGAGGACCTTTTCTTGTTGCTCCCTCTTCCCATATTCTTTGTTCCTTATATATAATCGTATATAGGAGGCCCAGCTTCCTTCCCTGTCAGCCACAGTCTGTTTGAATCCACCGGCTAGGTGTTCCCACCCACCGCAGAGCACCAGGGAGACACAGACCTGGGTAGCCTCTGCTGGGCCCGCCCCTCCAGGTCAACCTACCGAAGGCTTCACCACTAGGGTGCACCTCCAGGCACTGGAACCTGGTTTGGGCTAGCCTACTGGATCTCAACCAGCGGCATCTCGCAGGCCAGACACTCCCCACCAATCCTGCTTGAGAGGGGGATATGTGACTGAAGTCACTGCAGCATCTCTTTCTGGAGAGTCTGCCTGGTCCGAGTATGACCTCCGCTGAAGCCTCCTTCTCTATGGAAGGGTCCCGATCTGCTCACTCACTGCAGGTCGATGCAGGGCACCCAGCCAGTCCCGTTCTCAACTCCATTCACCGTTTCCCACTCTCAGAGCTTTTGTGCCTCTCTCCCCGCTGTGCCAACCGGGATGCAACAGCAGCTGCAGGAAATTCAGATTGCAGTTTCCAGTGGCCGCAAGGTCCGGCTTCCGTGCTGAGACCTTATTTGTTCCTGCTGTATCACTGGGATTGCGTTTCTAGTTGGTTTCTCTTAATTTAGTTCGTTCCTGGGTCGGCAAAGAATATCCCCCCTTGCCTAGGACTTCCTGCCTGGCAGGATTCCTGGATTTCAAGTGCGGTTTCTCAGAGAGCCTCCGAGGCTGCTGCTATCTATCCCCCATGTTCTTCTGGACTCCCACTTTTGTGAATTTTTCCTCCTCTTAGTCGTAGTTCCAATTCAAAATCACACATTTAGCACCAATCTTCCTCCTTCTGATCTGGATTTAGTTTATGGGGTTTCAGTCCATAGTCAGTTGGTTCCAAGGCAGGGTGGCATGGCCGAGGGACAGTTTTCCACAGCAGCATACATTCAACTCCATTCTTCTCCAGAATGTCTACTGATAGGATTATTTCCAAAAGATGAAAAATATTTCCAAAAGATAAGAAGTATAAAACAAAAGAGGCCTTTATTCTGAGAACACGGAGAGAGATGAATGACACTCAGGCCGCTGAAGTCTGGTGATCTCTCTCTGCCCTGGGCATTCTTAAGGGTAGAAAAAACATTCTAAAGATAGGAAAACAAAAAAGGACACACTCTATCTATCTATCTATATCACATTTACTACATTAATGTGTACCATTTTTATGTACCAGTTAAATTTAACTAACTGGTAAAATTTTTTATTACTAATGAAGTAACATTTTTTATTACTAATGAAGAATGAATTGAAGAATCTATAAAGTTTGTTGTCTTGGAATGATGATACTAAAAAGAGAAACCAAAAGCTTTCCCTCAGTTTGTTCCTTACTGTACCAAGATTAGACAGAAACTATTGGGCCACAGGCCCCTCCTTCCCTCCTTCCTCTCTTGCCCCGGCACTTACTCTGTCTCTATGTGCAGGTATGGTATGGGATCCCAGCTCTATAGCTCTGTTTGAGACCTCTAATTGCCAGGCATTTTTATCTCAATCTTGTGAAACCATAGAGCAAAAGAACTCAATGACCTCCACAACTCAGTTAGTAAATGGATGTTGTTTTAATCCCAAACTTTGTGGTAATTTTTTATGCAGTAATAGAAATGCAATGCAAGTATTAATAGATGTTTGTGTCGTTTTCTTTGATTTTCTCCTGTTTGAGAAATACAGAGCCAGGAAACCTTTTTGTTTATTATGGATGGCAAGAGACAGGTGATTCACCTAATGTTTCTGTTTTGTGGGAAGAATTCATAGTTTTACATGCACAGAGAAATGGGATACATAGTTTGGCATTGGGATTGATTTTTCTCAACCTGGATGTGATGGATTGACAACTGGTTATCAGTTTAAGAACCAGCTGAACTAAATCAGTGTGGTGCTGAGTGTGGACAGCCTACCCGAGGACTGTTGCCAGCATTGAAAGGAGAACTGGAGAGCAGAAAGTAGTGTTACTGGTTGTCCTGTGTGTTGTTGGTTCTCCTGTTGCTGTTGGTTTTCCTGGAAGAGCTTGTCAAGTTTTTTTCCTGATATGAACTTGGCTGTTCTCATCTTTGGAGGAGCTCAAGACCTTGTTGTTGCTGAGAATGGCTGAAGTTCACTTTGGAGGACCTCTGGTCCCTACTTTGAGCATTGCTTCCTGGCTCTGGAGGGGAAGGTATGTGCTGTTCAGACTCTTGGAGAAGTGTGTCATGCTGGCTTCTTGATATGAAGTTGGCTGTTCTCATCCTTGGAGGAGCTCAAGACCTTGTTGTCACTGAGGATTGTTGTGGTACTTTTCAGGAGAGCTCTGGTCCTTACTTTGACCATCATTTTCTGGCTCCACTGCAGAGCCCTCAAACATACTAGCACAGATCCTTTATCCCACTGGCTTTCTGGCTTCCACCACTGACCTTTGGGCATTCCCAGTGCAGATCTGTGAAACTGACTTGCACGAATCACTGTGGGCTCTAGACCTCCTGTTGGACTTGTGAGAGGCACTGTCATGGGCTCTAGGTATTAAGCTGTACTCATGCAGGACATTGCCTTGCAATTGAGGCTCTCAGCTGGATTCTTTGGGGACTTTATTGTGTGAACAGTTTTCCTGCATTTTTTGTGTTTGACTCTTTGCGTGACTATTATAAAATAATTCTAGAAATTATGTGTCCAGTGTTAAATCATTTTTCTTGCAAACCCTTATTACAAACACTGGAAAAATCAGAGTTTCCCTATGCTATGGTTTATGTTCAGATAGTCCCCCACCCCCAAGCCTCATGCAGTCATGGATGCAGCCAAATCTAGCATTTGTGATTGGTTCATTGTCTAGTGCATGGATTGATGGTATGAGTGCCCTCCCAGGGGTGGAACCAGCATACAGTGTAATGACGGGAAGAAGATGTGTCTTCTCACTCTTTTGCCCAGTTCGTGCTTTGCTGCATGGGCGGCCATGAGCCATGGTTTCTCAGCTATGTCATTTTGACTTTGAGCCAACTAAGTATGGACTAAAACCTTCAACCTGCTAAGAAATAAAGCTTCCCTTCCCTAACTTTAGGTGTCAGGTATTTTGTCTCAACAATGAGAGAAAAAATTAAAATACCCCATAAACTGCTATTTTAATAAAAACCATGTTTTTAGTCATTTTAGACTTCAAAAGCACCTGATGGCAGCCTCTGCTTCAGATACCTTTTCTGGTTTAAAAGCAAGTTGTTCTAGACTTTAAAAAAAATGGAAAGGGGTCAGGGATATAGCTCAATGGCATAGTGCCTGCCTGGCAAGCATAATGTCCTAAGTTTGGTTCCCAGTATCAAAATAAATGAATGAATGAATGAATGAATGAATGAACAAATAAATAAATAAGGAAAATTATGAAGTCAGAATGATGAACACTATGTTTTATGTTGCTAACTTTTTGTATAAAAAGGCTGGAGAATTGAAATGGTCATATGAGTGGCAGTGAAGAGTGTAATGCATGAATGGTATAGTACTATAACGATGACAGTGTATACTTAGTATGAATGTTTGTGTACCCTCAACCCAGGGGAGGCCAAGGGGAACTGGGCAGGTAGGTCCCCGTGGATTTCTCTTTCAGCCCTCAGATTTCTAACCCAGCAGTGCCAGGGCAGGTGTGAAACCTCACCAGACGAGGGTTCTGGGGATAAGGTGGCTCAGATGAGACAGCTTCTTCCCTCTTTTGGGACTTGCTGCTTCTTTATTCAGGACAATGAAGAAATGGAAACCAGGTAGCTTGGCCGTTGGGGGCCCCCCGTTTTGCCCAGGACAGCAAGGGACAAGTTTTACTTCTGCTGTTCATCCAGGGCCCCCCTCAGTGCCTTTCACTGTGCTTCCGGGGAGGTCCTGATGCCTTCTCTCTGCCCTTGTGCTTCTTCTGGGTCCTTCTGCAGATGGAAGGACCTGGCAGGAAGCCTCTCTCTTTTTCTTTCAATGATTTTTATTTCACAGCGATGAGACTTAAGGAAGCCTCTTTCCAGGGCTAGAATTCTCCCTTCCCTGCTGGAAATAATATTATTAAAGATTAATTTGAATTAATAGCAAGTACCTTGGACTGACTAAAGGCAATAATGAAGAATGACCCTCACAACTTTATACTGATCATCCCTAGCATGTGTTGCATATACCTAGTGGGAGCCAGGGGCTAAACCAAAGACTTTCCGTGAATTAACTTATTTCATCTGCACACAAGGCCGTGAGGAAGGTTCAGGCACAGGGGTTCAGGCACTTGTCGCATGTTGCACGGTGGTGACAAGGGTGACTCAGAATGAGACACAGATGGGTCTGCTCTGGGATTCAGGTCTTCAGCCCTTGCTGCGCTGCTCTCCTGTATCCCTCATGGTAGTTTGATGTAACCTGTTTTCCTCCTCATACCTAGCCATGTTACCTTCCTGGGGTGGGACTAGAAATAAAGAGTTTAGGGATAAAGTAGGGGGACACATGGCTCTTAAATGATTGTGATGGGGAGTTTGGGAAGATACCAGTGGAGCATTCTTTGTGGTATTGTTTCTTTCCTCACCAGTAGTGGTGAGAAACTCACTTGTAAGCATCTGAATGTTACTGAACTTATCTTCAGTATGGTGACTCAGCCAAGAACCTGGAAAGCATAATTTCCTTTTTCTTCTCCTTTATACCATCAGCACTATTTTTCTCTTTCCCTGGTGTTCCAGCGATGTATGCTTGTGTGTATATGTAAGATACATGAAGTGTTTCTCTTGTCAAGGATTTAGATGTCATTTAATAGCATTTTGAAACTATTCTTAAAGGCCAATGAAAAGTAACTAATTTCTATAATTACTCTTTTCTGCCTCACACAGTATTGGCTGGATCCTGCAAAAACCCTTGCTGAACACAAAGAACTGATCAACAGTAGGTATTCAATTTTGATTTTGTTGAGGGCATGCTTACTTGGGAGCAGATGTGGGCTTTAGTACTGGGGAAATGTGTGTGCCAGTGCTGTGGTATGAGGCATGTGAGCAGGTACTGTTGCACATTGCAAGGCTCTGCTTGTCTGTTTTAGGTGGACTCTGAGTGGATCTTCATACATTGGCTTTGTCCGGGGGTGCGCCCTCCCTTGATTTTGTCTTGGGATTTTTTTCTGTGCTTGTTGTTAAAATTTGACTTTAAAGACACATATAGGAAAGGCAGAGAGGGATTGATTTGAAGATGAGGCAATGGGTTATGGAGTGGTTTTATTACTCACACCACTCAGTTTATGTTCAGTAATTAAGGGGTGCCCTTGTGGCCTGAAAAATTACTGCAGCTCCAGGGAGAGGCCATCCATATGCTTGTCTGGAAATGGTAACTTTGGTGGCCTTTAATCTCTCCACTAAATAGTGACAGATGCACATGAGAGTATGTAACGGTATTATAGTTTTGCTTTTCTCTGTGAAGCTGTGTAAAATAGTGCCCAAAAAGCCCTGAACACTGTTACCAGTTGTTGTGGTTCTCAAATGTTCTTGTAGCATTTTCATACCTTATCAGGTACAATCAAATGGGAACCATACCTTATCTTTAGAACACAAGCTGCCTTGTGAGTGGGCAATGGCTAAATTGGGCCAAGGGTCTTTAAAGAAAATTAGTCCAAATTGAGTGTTTTTCAAGCTTCTGTCTAACTGTTCATCACTAAACACATTTGACATGGCTGTGCTTGATGAATAGGATGTAATCTGTCATGTTCCAGAGAATAAAAGCAGCTTTGGGGGCTAGAGAAGGCCTCTTCCCTTTGTGCAAAGTCTCTGTAGCATCTGTGTGCTCTCTGCCCCCTAAGTGCCAGCCCCACGGCCTGCCTGCGGGCACAGGCAGACCCATCTGCTCAGGAGCACAGAGCTTGACAGATAAGCAGAGAGAGGACTTCCTGGTTCTTCTGAATATTTAATAGTTTTGCCTGCCTGACATCTATGTTCAGGGATTAGGGTGTATTTGTCAGGAATACAAACATGATGGTTAAGGGAACATAAAAATCAAACAGATGGAATCTGTTCTAATGATAATAAATTAAAGCAAAGTTTTAAAAGGCTTGCTTTTTGAAAAGCTCTAGTATAAGAAGTGCTAGATGAGGGAGAGAGATGGGTACTGGTCTTGACTTTCATTTGTATGCTGGAAATCAGGCATTGAGATGTTATCACCTAAGCATGGGAAAGTTATAATAATGACATAGTTTACAAATTATAAATACATTATTAGCTTTATTATTTTTTCTGTTTCTATAATTTTCCAAATTCTAAATTTATAACTTTATTACTCAGTTAAAAATGGGAATAGACTAGGTGTACTTTATGTTAATTACACAGTCTCAGAGACCTTTACTGAATGCATGCTTCCCATCTTTTCTATTTAATTTCTGTGGGAGAACTTCTGTTAAACAATCACAGGTAGGGCTAAGAATATAGTTCAGCAGTGTAGTGCCTGCTTAGCAGCATGATGTCTTGAGTTCTATTCCTGGTACAAAAATAAAGAAAAAAAATTGGAAGTATAACTGTCATTCAGTATACCAAGTAAAAAGTCCTTTTTAAAAGAAGTGTGTTACATTTAGTTATTGCATGGCTTGCAAGTGTTCAGTTTTGAAAATAGTGCACATCAGATTCAAACCCGGTGAAATAGGAAACTACTTCTAGTAAAGAGTAATATAGTATGGTTACCTCCCAAGGGACTTTTATCCTCATGCACAATGTGACTGTTCATTTTATATTTGCCTATGTATGTACAACTCCAGGCTTTGTGTGAGATTTCTTTGGTTTTGCTTTATTTTTATCTATGGACTTAAGTTTTTCTGTGTGTGGTAAGATGAGATGAGCATTTCTTCTCCCACATGCAAGAATTCACTTTTAGATTCAGAAAAGTTTAAGAATGAACTGGCCTTAATTCTGTCACAGAGCCTTAGTAATGATTGAAAAAAGATATACATGATAGTAAAATTCTAACTAGTCAGTTTAAAGAGAAAATTTCTAATCCTTCCTAAATTTTGCTGCTGCTTGTAATTTCTATGGTATAGGAAATAACATAAATTAGCTGACATTTTATTTTTTCAAAAAAGGAGTCATATTTCTTGTACTTCAAAATATAGATTGATCATCTTTTTTGTATCAGTACCTACAAATCTTCTTTTATGATTGTGGTTGCCTAAGATAGTTCACCCTGCTGCTGAGTATGTGTTTCTAGCTTTTGGCAGAGGTATCCATTGTTCTTTTGATAGTTGAAGTGGTAAATGGATGGTTTCTAAATCATTAATTTTGTTTAGCAACATTCTTTATGGAAAAATGTGCTATGTATTGTAAATAATAGGAAAGATATAAACAATTAGAATTGTGTATAGTCTCATCAACCAGTTAAGATACAGCAGCATTCTAGTATGTTTGGCCTTGCGTGCAGGTACACCTTGTTGAATTCCCACTGTTAACAGTTTTAAACCTGGCTTTTCCCAGTTTGTTTTCTTGTGTCTTGTGAAGTTCTTAGTGTAATTCTTAATATTTATATAATATTCTGGTAATAATTTGACTATAATATAAAATTTAGTTAATTCCTATTTCTTATTTTAGCTGGACCTCCATACACACTGTATTTTGGTATTAAATTCTATGCTGAAGATCCATGTAAACTGAAAGAAGAAATAACCAGGTACAGTGTTAACTGTTTTTGAACAGATACATGTACGGTATGTGTAAAATACTTTATTGAAAATGAACTAAAATTGTGGTCGACTGTTCAGATGTGTGTCTCCCTGAATTTTGGCTTTTATCTCCTGTGAGGATTAAGTTTATACTAGCATTTCATGAGGCAGATTGGAATCTGATGAAAGATGTGTTTGAAAAATGGCATGAACCTAGGTGACAGGATGGTAGATTTTGTATCTGCTCTGATGGGCTGTTCTGTATCATTACTGTTAAGCATTTTACTTTTGTAGTCATATAAAATAGTCATTTGAATTGCCTGAAAGAAGGGTCTTTCAATGCTAGTTTGCTTATGTAAATATGTAAGTTGAAGAACCACTTATTTCCCTTTAATTACTTGTAAGTAAAATATCAGCCATTCAGATGTTTCATTTGTCTCTTCAAGAAATGATAAGATAATTACTTTTGGTGTTAAGAAGGGTAATATAAGTTCAGTGTTTTAATGTATTACTTTGCTTTGGACACCAAATATTTTATTTCACTAAAAACAAAATATGTAATCAATATTGATCAGGTTGTAAGAATAATTCATGTCAACATTTGAAAGTGGCTTATAAAGAGCAGATAGTGTTTGAACTTTTCCCTGGTTGGTGAACTGACTACATGTGGTAGCAAAAGCAAAAGCATTTTCCTTAAATTAAGTGATCAGTTTTCAGCAAAACTTTTATCATGGGCTCAAATATAGCCTAATGCGTTACTTTAAAATTATATCTTTGATAAGTAAGTAAGGCAGCCTGTGGTTTTGTTTCTGTTCCATCCTTTTGTCATTCTTCTTAGACTTTCTTTTATATTGTGCACATCAGAATGAGAAGAGATAAGGCATCACACCTTTTCCATTCCATGCTGAAGGACAGGCCTCATGTTTTCAGAACCATGTGGATCTCTGCGTTCAACTCTTTCATTGTCACAATGTGACTGCTTTGGAAAACGAGATTTTCTCAGAGCAAAGCACACCTGTCTGGAAGAAAGGCCATTGGGTGTTTCCTTTTTTTTTTTTTTTTAATAATTTAGTTATAAACAATGCTGCAATGAAGCTTCTTGTGCCCATATATAATCATACTAGATTTAGCATTCAAAATAACATGGTACTTAGGGAAAAAAGATGAGAGATCAGTGAGATACACAAGAAGATAAAGTTTCTGATTACAAAAACTAATATAGGAAAAAACCCCCAAATTAATATAGGATCATAGTCACTTGAAGTTCCTGCCCTGTATTCTAGAATGTTTTCTGAAATAAAGGAAGCTGAAGGATTCTAAGGTTATATATTCTAACCCCCTACCTTTGACATAACAGACAATTACTTTTTAAGCGTTTTTTAGAGAGAAAATCTTACAGCCTTCAAAAGTAGTAAGATGGTCAATTGGAAATAAGTAATACCTGAAGCTTTTATTATTACTACTAGCTTTTCTTTCTAGGTCTATTCAGAATAAATCTATAACCTCTCATCATTAGTCCTTTAAGTATTTGTGTCCTCATACGACCTGCTAAATTTCTTTTCAATTCTACTCAAATATTTTGATATCATTCTGTCTGTTGTATTATTTATACCTCTGTATCCTATGCAGGTCCAATGTCTTTTAATACACACATTGGTTAAGGTGACAGGCTTTAGAATGAGACACCTGAGGTTTACAGCCTTGCTCTGTCACTCTCCAGCTGAATAGTTCTGAGATCACATAACCTTTTAAAAATCTCAGTTTTCTCATCTATATAATGGAATTATAATATTTTTTCAAAAAGATGCCTGGGGGCATATATAACACCTCCAGAGTATCTACCATAATGCAAAAAGTCCAAGTGTTTCATAGATGGCAAGTGTGAAAAATGGAGGAAATAAATTGCAAAAAATTTAAATACACAAATATAAAAACATAAAATGACAAAAATGGAAAATATAAATATTTTCCTTTTTATAGGAAATCAAAAGCAGGAAAAGACCATCGTGGAGCCCTGAGATGGGTCTTCCAGGTTGAAGCCAGAACTTTCTGGGAGTAGATGTTCATTTAACTATGAATCATCATAGCACTGCCCTCTAGCCTACATTCTGGAATTTGCATGTCAAGACTGCATTCACTCACTTTTCATTCCGGAACTATGCAGATCACTGTGTTCCCTGTGCAGACTGAAAAAAGACCCAGTAGGGGTCAGGAAGAGGCCCAGTTTCAGTGCACCTGAAGAGAGAATCTGTCAGCTGCCCTGCAGATATCCCTACCTATGATGCCAGTGGCATTTTGCTGAACTTTTATGCATCTAACAACTCTTTCTATAAAAGAAAATGTTATTTCCAAATGACTCTTCCATGACTTTTTAAAAACTTCTATAAAGAGGTACTATATTTGATGTTTTTAGTTTTTGTGATGTGTTACAACATTTTGTTGGACATTGACATCAAGTCCACTTGTCACTGTTTCCTTCTTTTTGTAAACCATAATCTCTCCTGTGTGAAGATGGCTTGATTTAGCTTCTTTAGTAGTTGAGTGACGTCCATCATATATGTACTTTGTGAGTTGTTGTCTCCTTTTGGTAAGTTAATTGTTTTTATGTACCCCAGAGCAGAGGTGAGGGTCACAGAACCTTATGGACACAAAAGATGTTTGTGAACTTTAAAGTGCTGTGCAAAGGCATGGGTCATCAACAACTTGTTCATCCCTGGTTTCAGTTCAGCTTCTTTGGAAAACTGTGGGGTCAGTATTTCATTTGTGTTGTGCTGATCGTAGTGTTGTTTTAAATTGGAAAGGGTGGATGATCACAAGGTTCTCCCCCATTCTCATGACTGAGTTTGGGAGACAGTGTGTGCATCAATATATTAATCTCCTTAAAGGAACCAGATTTTGCTTTATGAAGACTCTGTTTTGCACCATAATCTGTTTTAGAAACTTCCTTGTTAAACAAATCACCTTAACTTAGCAACATAACTAGGGTCACATTAGAATTTATTGTCCAAATGCTGACATTTTAAAGAATGATGAACAAGAGTTGTTTATAATCTTATCTCTATAATAGGTTTAAATTACTTGCAGCTGTCCTAGGCAAACTGGATATAGGCTCATCCTAATTAAAATGAGAGGTAGGCAAAGATGCAGTCATTCATAGCTTTATTTTATTTTTTTATTCATAGCTTTAATTAGAATGCCACAGAAGAAATGATCCAACAACTTGCATTCCATTTTGTGCATAAAACAGACACAATAAATTACATGTAGCTTAGGAGGGTAATACAGGAGGATGCTGAGTTTGAGGCTAGCCTGGACTATGCAGAAAGATTGTCTCAAAAACAGCAAAATTGTGACTTTATCATAAATTTGTCTTATTTGAATCAAATAGAGTAGCACAAGTAGTTAGATTTTTAATTAAGACCAGTATGCTTGTATTATTCAGTTTCTTAAGAATTTCTGGAAATTTAAAAGATGGACAGCTTAGGACAGTTAGAAGAAATGCCCTTTTTCTCCTCATTATTTCTCAAAAATTGCTAATCAGTTTTTTTAAAATTTCCATTTAGTTTCTGTTCATCTGTATACCCATCTATAAAATCAACTTTTATGAGCACTAGCCTGGGTTGAGCTCTAGAAATGCCACTGGGACATGGTTACTGTTACTTTGTATCTGCATGTCTTTGTGTGTTACAGATCTGTTTTTGTTTTTCTATTTCACTTCCCTTTTGTCTTCAGAGCCCGTGCTTGCCAGATTAGGTGTTTCTGTTTTTGTGCTTTGTCAGGGTTTTGATTATCTAATGAAATGATATAAAACTCTTAATAGAGGAAGATAAATAGCACCTGTGGCCCATTTCTTAAGGAACTGAATTTAAGGGCAGTCAAAGATTCTGCAGAGATGGAGGCTGTAGCAAACAAGTTTTATATCTTGGTAATCAGTGTCTTTTAGTTTATAAACTTTTGTACTTAAATTCTAATATTATTTTACTCTTGTTTTTCCATCTAGAGTAGCACAGACTATCATTGAAAAATGGATTTTGATATATCGGGTGAGCAGTCAGGGATTGGAAAGTGTTAAGTAGGGTTGGAAAAATAAGTACAAGTTAGGGAGCGAAGGTGATCCTGGGTCTGTGGCAAGAGATCCGCACCATGAAGGAAGTAGAGATCTTACCAGTTATCTTAGAGCTTTATCCTGCAGGCCCAGGGAAGTTTTAAAAAATATTTTTAATCAAAAAGTGGCACGATCCTTTTTACTGCCCGAATCCTGTTTACATCCTAGGAAGATCAGAAGGAAGGTAAGTATGGATGACGGCAGGCTGGTTGAAAGGCTTTGGAAGTCTGAGGAACAGTGACCCAGCCTGGGGGATGATGAGAAGTGCATTGCTTTCCGAACATGTGTTTGGTGATGCAGGGCGGATGCTAGGATTGGCCAGAGAACACCCCCCGGTTTCCTTGACATGGACAATTGAGAATAGTACTGTAGAACTGTTCCCTGAAATGGACAGTGGGGAAATATGGGGCACTGGGCAGGTTAAAGGTCTGTGGTTGCAATTACAGTTAGTATCAGTCTGTTGGCAGTAATCGGTGTGCCATCTCACATTTGGATTCCCTTACTGAGGACATTGGTTGTGGGTAGCTGGAAAAGTGTTATTTATCATAGCAAATTTTTATAATTAATTTCTTGCTTTTCTCTACTCTTCCCACTGACTTCAAGAATCACATTGCAAAGGGAGTGAAATCACAAAAAGCCTGAAGTGTGAACATGAGTGTACATGTGCATGTGTGTGAGTGATAGGTGAGACCACGGTGCTGATGATTCATTGTGTTGGTTCAAATTTCTGTCCCCTTTCAGCCCACTGAAAGACTGAAAGGAAAAGAAAGACGGAAAAAGTAAAAACAAAAAGCTAGTCAAAGTTCCCTAATATTCTGCTTGAGGGAGTTATAAAATCAGATTGCTTGGATTCTAGTTCTGGATCTATTTAAACTATTTACCAGATCTTGGACAAGTTATTTTATCCCTCCAGATCTATCAGTTTCCTTATCTGCAGAACAGAGGTAATATTATCCACCTCATTTCTAAAGTTTTGCCTAAGTGGTTGTATGTAAAATATTTAAGATGAGTTACAATGTTTACAATGTTTAGAACAGTTCTTGGTGCTATAATTATAACAGATTTTCTTTTGGCAACATGGAATGAGCAAGGTTGCAGATAATGAGCAGGGTCTTAATAAGTGGGAGGATTGACAAAATTATCCTACAATAATCTTTTTGTCTGTACACATAATTTTGGGCCTTGTAGATGACACCTGTGATATAGGTGGGGTCCTTGTGATTTGTTCCTCGCAGTAAGAACATTCTGTAGTTGCAGGGGCAACAGTGGAAATAGCCAGAACTTTAGATTCAGCTGTGACATCCCCTGGGAGGTGGGTATGGACTCTTCCATTCTCACATGCAATGAGAGGAGCTGTTGTAGTGAGTGGCAGAGCTGGGATGCAGGTCAGGCTGTCTGCTTTGAGAGGCTGAACTTTGCAGCCACAAGTCTGCATTGTATCAGTGTGGGGCTTCAGATAGTCTTGCCCCCCTTCACACAGCAACCCCTCACAGAAGGCTGAAGTGTGGCTCTATTTCCACCCCTGTTCGTTAGTGTTGACCTTGCTGATCAGGGCCTGAAAGTTCAAATTTGAGTACTGTAAGAGATTGTTAATCTCTCTTCTCCATTTCTCTTTTAGATATCAGTTTTTCTTGCAGGTGAAGCAGGACGTCCTTCAGGGCCGGCTGCCCTGCTCTGTCAACATTGCTGCTCAGCTGGGAGCGTATGCTGTCCAGTGTAGGTTCCACTTAAGTATTTGCTTTATAAATACCTGCAGACAGCACTCATAATTGTCTTTGTGTGTAAGTTTATTTTATCAAATGACATTTTTATAAGGAGGAGAAAAGTGAATCCCATCACAATTCCCATTTTTAACCAGTGTCCTAAAAGAAGAAGTAAAAATAGAGCCAATTATGTTTGCCTTGTAGTAGATTGTGTGACAATTTAGTGGCAGCATAGCATTGATTCTCAAGTAGGTGAAGGGTCTAAAAATCTCTCCCCTGGAGCTTAGTGATTCTATACCCTGCTGCCCCTTCCAGCCTGTTTATGTCTCAGAGATGGCATTGCTTCTGGGCCGCTACAGTGCCGACTCCACACGGTCCGGTGCCAACACTGAGTTAAGTGCGGCACAGTGCACACCACCAGCTCTTCACATCAATATGGTGGCCCTGTGGGGTGGCTCTGGTTGTTTTGTCTTTCTGGAGACTCTGGCTGAGATTATTTCTACTAATAATTATTGAGGACATTTTATAAATCAAGCGAGGTTTGAGGGAAATGAGATAGCATGGTCTTTGCCTTTTTCCTACCTGTAGAAGCAAAATTATATATATATATATATATATATATATATATATAAAATCCTAGGAAAAGTGTCAAGTGGATGTTCTGGGTTGGGAGTTGGAAGGTAGATTAATACAGGGTCAAAAGTTTTATTTGAGTAATATAGTGAGCTTTCTGGTTTCATTTTGTTTCTTTTATAAACTCTAATCAGGTTTTACAGTATTGGATTCTTCCCATGACCATTACTGTGGTCATGGATGTTTAGAATCACACACTCGCTGTGTCATTGTCAAAGAGGAGTTGTTGGGGTCAACTTCAGTATTTCTGTTATGTACTCTAACTTCTGTCTGCAACATTTTATTTCATGTAAACTGCTAAGAATGATTGAAATGAAAATAATGATAATTAGAGTCTTTGGGAAAGCAGAAATAAAGAATTTATATTTTGTTAAGACTGTTTATATCATCCTTATATATTCAGAGTTACAATAGTAAAATTATTCAAGAATTTCATAAATTTGTTAATAAAGCATTTGAAGATATTTTATTCCTGTATTTTAAAATACTTCCTTAAAATAGAATAAAATTACAATTTTTCTTTTCCTCAGCGGAACTTGGAGATTACGACCCATATAAGCACACTGCGGGATACGTGTCAGAATACCGGTTTGTTCCTGATCAGAAGGAGGAACTTGAAGAAGCCATAGAAAGGATCCACAAAACTCTAATGTAGGAGTCCAGCCTGCTGTGGCATCATCAGTCATCATTCTAGGCTCTTGACAGTCAAGCAGAGTTTCTAGAACAATCATTTCTTCACCAGTGTCTTAAATATTCCACTTGTCTTTTCCTTCTGTGGTTGTTTACTGGGTATCACACTAAAATGCCCTTTGAAAACTCGAGCAATTTGGGAAAAGTGTAAAGGGAAAAGTAACTTAAAACCACCATATTTTTCTGAATCTTCTGTATATATAATTTGTTTTGTATGGATTTATGTGCTATGATTTTGTATAAGTGAGAGTAGTCTATAAGTATACTATGTTTTGCAATCTTTTTTTCAGTCACTTGTATCCTGTGAAAAAAATGTAAAAGTATACATATTATTTTTAGCTATTAAAAATAACCATACGTGCCTTAATGTATTTTAGGCTTGCCCTGTAGTAAGTGTATAAATCTTCACAATTAGAAACAGAGTCTATTCAGGCTACAGCAACCCGTCTAACAATCACAGTGACACTGATGTGGTGCTTCAGAGAGCATTATGTTAACACCACACGCACTTCTGAGAATTGACCTGCTCTCCTAGTAGGATTTTCAACTAATAGCCCAGAACCTTGAAGTTATAATTTAATTATAGTTATTTTGGTTAAATCTTCTGTACTGACTAACTTTGCTTTCTTGCATGTTATGTAGCATTCCCCCTTGAATATACTTGGTTTCAGATCTATTATAGTTAAGGGGAAAAATGTAGAATTAATCTTCTTGACAGGAATGTTTGCCTAAAGGATCTGAAGGAGATGCAGAAGTCGGCTGCTGAATGGCAATCAGAGAAACCAGGCTCTCGGTCTTGCATTAGCATGCAGTAGAATGCTCTCCAGCCTGATTATAGAGTCCTTCATTTTAAGGTTTTGCTGAAGTGGATGCTAAGAGACTGCTGGTTATAATGTTACAAAAGGCAGTGTGTTTGGCACATCCTGAGAATACTAATTCTGCTAAGAGTTTCAAAGTACAGTTGTATTCTAAAATTACTCTGGGGCTTTAGGTAGAGACCCTCTTCTGTGCTTTGTGTGATAGTGTGGTCAGTGTGACTTTTTTTTAAACTAGGAATAAAATCATATCAAAGTTTGGTAGCTTTCTTGCTAATTTGTGATGAGTATTCTTCATGCATTTTACAAGTAATCTATATTGCTGACTTTTCAGTATGCCATGACTGAACAAGGGAATGCCTCAGAGCAAGATTTCTTAATTTATAGAAATTTATAGTTCTTTTTGTTAACCATTAAAATCTACCCCATCCCTCAGTTCATTTCTGGCAGATGTACCCCATTATTAGGAATGAATACTTTATTCTATATATTATAACCAGTGAAGATTTTTATACTATTAAGAAAACAAAAGGCACTATTACAAAGTGTGTATGTTACTAACACATTTCCAAACTGCACTTGGAGATGTTGATGTGAACCCAGTTGGGTGTTGCGGGCCTTGTTCTGTTGTCTGCCCACCACTGTGCTGGCTTCTTTTTCCTGATGCAGAGCTACTAGTGCATGGACACTTTGCTCTCTGCGAAGTGCACACTTTTTAATTTGAGTGCTTATGTCCTCAATTGGGTGGCGGGGGGGCTTTTGAAACTGAAAAGTTAGGGCATTGAGGATAGAATATAATGAGCAAGGATAGATTTGGTGACTGAAATTAACTTAATGTGAGCATTACCTTGGAGTACAAAATTTTGTCACCAAGAAGAGAAAGGCCTTCTTGAGATACAAAGCCTAGTTTTACATGAGTGCAAAGGACTATTTGTTGTCCACTGAAGATAATGAAGATAGTTTATATCCCCCATAAGTGCAGAGCTATGTGTAAAGCAAGACTCTTTGTCTTTATTCTGGGTATAGGGGTCAGGCTCCTTCTGAAGCTGAGCTGAATTACTTGAGGACTGCCAAATCCCTGGAGATGTATGGCGTTGACCTCCATCCCGTCTATGTGAGTAACATTTAATTAACACAAAATATTTTAAGCTGATGACATTTTTCTTAAAAAGTCACTGAAACTCCCAAAGGAAAGCTGCATTCCCTTTTCTTAGTAAGGAGATGATGCTTTTTCATGTGTGTTTTTTGAGCACAAAGCAGCTCTTGCATGGATTAAGCCTTAATGAGCTTTGCATATAAGTCTGTGATTGTGTTTCCATGTGTAGAAAACAATTAACTGGGCTTGAAAACACAATCTGGATAACAGCTCCAAAGGGCTTAGCTAAATGTCAAAACAATGTAGAATTGGTTTATAATGGATTGCATTAGACAGAAAACAGGAAAAATTTCCAAAAATAGTTTTTTATGGATGAAAAATGTAAGGTAGCTTGCCAGCTAGAGCAGACATTAGGCAACAGTCCAGGTGCAGCGATAGGTAGTTCTGTGCTGGACATGCAGGTTCAGTCAGTAGAAGAGTTACCACCACCTACCAGTATCACTACAATAGAAGTATTTTTGCAGATTTTCTTCGGTTGCTGATGAATCTTGCCAAATATAGTCAATGAACAGTTACTTTGGATCTGCTCTTGAGTGTCTGGATCCAGGTCTTAACCTTTGAGTCATTTTTCTTAGGCTACCAATTGATTATTCTGTGCCAGTGACACTGTGATGCCATTGCTTTCGATTTTCTAAGAATGTTAACAATAGTCACATTTAATTATTTGAGAAAATGAGCCAACTGGCCTATGCCTTTTAGGAAATGAATTACTAGAGTGTATATAGATATTTTGCCAGTTGAATCAAGGGACTCAGTTTTTAAGGAATGCTGATACAACTTTCTCTAATGTGAATGACGCACTTGTGCATTCACTTTGTAATATGTCTTCTGTGCATCAGGCTTTTCTGAATCAAGAAACAATAGGATACTAGTTTGGAGAATTAGAATCATCCCTATAAATGTAGCTGTGAAAGTTTCAGATTTGGGGGAAATAGTAGGCCCCAAGGATATAGATTCCAATCTCATTAAGTGATTAGGTGCTTCTTAGTACTACCCATGAAGAAACCACTAAACCAGTGGTTCTCAAGTCTTGGCTACCTAGGTAGATCACTTGAAATCCTTGTGTGTTTCTGATTCCCAGACCTGTTCAGGAGTCTCTGATTTAACTGGTTTCAGTAGCACTCAGTTATTCTGTAATTTTAAGTTGCTTAGGTGATTCCAGTTAACATGCAGCTAGAGTTAAGCTAAGTGCCATTGTTTAAGCAACTTTGAATGAATCAATCCGTGGCCAAATTGTTAATCCAGGTACCTCTCAATGAATTTAAGTTGCAAATGTGAATTAACATTAGCAAGACAAATTCTCTCGAGAATGTTGGAAAAAATAAGCATAACGTTAGCTACAATCATGGCTTGTCTAGCTTTTTATGCAAATTTTTTAAAAAACTAAATCCCATGTTGTTACAACAAATTACTGTATGCTTGTCGGACTAATTATAGATTTATAAACGGCTTTTATGTGAATAAATTCATGGATTTAGGCATATGTTTGTTTTTTCAGGGAGAAAACAAGTCTGAATATTTTTTAGGACTAACTCCAGTTGGCGTTGTTGTCTATAAGAATAAAAAACAAGTGGGGAAATATTTCTGGTAGGTATAACTGGAGAACAGAACTGGTATTACGTTATGCCCTGTAAGTATTAGATTTTATGGCGCTCTTGTGTCAGTGAAGGGGTTAAGGAAAAGAAAACATACATTTTCAACAGTGAGTGAAATTGGGTGTGCGTATTCCCCCAGTGCACCTTAGTATATATTTTCTCGGTAAATTTCAGTGGTGCTGTGATTCTGGACTCCCTTGTCTGTGAAAACTGTAGTAGACTCTTCTGCCCGCTCCAGTATAGGCTCAGAACTGCCCTAATTTTTAATTAACTCTATCTGGGGAAGGATTGGAGGGATTGGGAAGCCTGTGACTCTGTTTATGTCTGGAAGGTTAGCACTATGAGAATGGGGATTCCAAGCTTTTTTGTGCACTGAGTGAAGAAACACTGGAGAAGGAGAATATGTCCAGGGAACTAACTAGTCACAGCAGAAGTATTAAAAACAGCCTATATTAACCCACCTTTTTTCACTGAGTACTTCTCCTGAATTTCTAACGGACTAATTTTAAAGAACAGTGCTGTCTACTTTGTTTTCTAGGCCTCGAATTACGAAGGTTCATTTCAAGGAAACTCAGTTTGAACTCAGAGTACTGGGGAAAGATGTAAGTTTTTGTGAGCACTTAACCAAAGTGTTCTTTTCTGCTCCATTATAGCTTAAAGACATTGTAATAAAGCTATCATGTTTTCTTCAGCTGCAGCCTCAAGGAACTGGGGTAATTAATCCATGTGCACAAATTCTCAAGGAAGGGAAAGGGAAATGAGTACAAAAGAATGAAATAGTAATGGGAAAATGTCATTTTGGTTTAAGCAAAGAAAAGCAAAACCTTGATAGCCCAGAGGAGAGAACAGGAAGTGATTATTGTTATTACTGTGATTTGGTTTTCAGCACTGTCTGTGAAGGTAGGATTTAGAGACTGAAAGGTGTAGCTACCTTACTGCAAAAACATGTCCTAATTTTGCTATAAACTTAAACAACCCGTTCGAGGTTATGCTTTTGCTGTTTCCTTTTTTTTTTGGTCTTTTTCCTTTTTATTGGTACCAGGGATTGAACTCACGACTGGCGCTTATGCTGCTGAGCTAAATCCCCAGCCCCTGCTGTTTCCTTTTTGAGCCTGATAGAATAAATGAAATTCTGGACCCTTTCAAAGGAGAATGAATGCTAAAATGCTGGGCAGCCCCGCTTCTTGGCAGCAGCTCGGAAGCGAGCACAGTATTTGTCAGAGCCTGACTGTGTCTTCAAGCCTTGACAGGCAGCTTTCAGGAAACTGGTTAGAAAAGGCAAAGACGTGAATGCTTCCTTTTGATCTACCTGTGAAAGTAATGCTACCTTAAAGTGCTATTAGAATAATTCTTACAGGGTAAATTAGTGAAAATATGATGTAGGAGAATCAGTTCTTTTTCTTTCGATGCTAACTTTATGTGAACAAGAACTAAATATGAATGGAATTTAATTGACTTTCTTGGTGTTATAAAGGCTTAAGTACATATCAGTGCTTATATGTCCACATGTGGAGATACACTATTTGATAGAGTACCTTACAGTAGGTACTCAGTACATATTGGTCAAATGACCAATGAAATGATTACTGAGAATATGTACTGCCAAATCAGAAGACTAGATACTGCTATTTGTTCTCCTTCTAGAAAAAAATCCCACCCTTAACTATAAAGCATGCTGCGTTTATTTGTAAAATTAAAATTGTGTTTTGAAATGAGTTTGAACTTGGAAAGGAAATTCCAGATTTTGAAGAAACAGAAGTGTAAGAAGTCTTAGCAGTTCTTAGTGCTATATATAGTCTGGAGAAAATTCACTGTGTTCTTCAATTCTTTATTAGACTTACCAGTCTAATAAAGAATCTTAAAAGATGTGCAGATGAAAGACTAAATTAAAATCATTTAAAAAGTAGGGTTCTGTAGTTTTTTCCTGTCTTTGAGTTCATATGATTTATGTAATAATGCAAGGAATAAAGTCTGTTAAACATATTGAAACTATTTCAAGTTTTTTTAAAAACAGAATATGATGATAAAATAAGATATTTCATAGAAGCATTACTGTTATTCAAAGCATGCTTTATCCTTGCCACTAAGTTGTTTTGGTGAGTGCTACACTTTGGTGAATGACTTTTGTGTTATTTTATAGTGCTTTCAAATGTATTCTGCTGTTTCCAGAAAAATACTTAGTAAAGTCAAAGCTAACCTGAATGTCTAGCTTCATAGACTTTTTTTAAATCATAAGACAAACACAGCACCAACAAAATTAATTATCTTTTTTTTTTTCTTTTTTCTTTTGGTACTGGGAACTGGACTCAGGACCTTGTGCTTGCCAGGAAGGTGCAGTGCCACTGAGCTATATGCTGGCTACATTTTGTTATTTTTTGATGGCAGTTGCATGATACAATCTGATTTCCTAGGGACTCTGGTCAGTCCTTGTGCCTCTCAGCTTTGAGAGGGAATGGATGTTTGGAGAAGCCAGAGGCATTGCACACTGCTAGGTCATTAAGCCTAGCAGCAGTGGTCTTTAGTAAGGTAACAAAACAGGTCACTGATTGTCCAGACTTGAATCAAAGGGATTTTTAAAATTGTTATTAATAGCACATTAACCCAAACATTCTGTTTCCTGAGTGCTCTTGCTTGCAGGGATTCTTTTTTTTTTCCCCTTCTCTACTAGAGCAACTCTGTAAGGCAGTGATTTACATAATTGTGGAATTAAGTTGATTATTATGGAGGCCCAACTGTAATCACAGATTGAATTAAAAAGCTCCTTAAAACCCATCACCTGGAACAGTAATCACATTGAACTTGAAAAATAGTTGAAATGCTTATTGTGCTGGTTTTTTGGTCTGCTGCTCCGGTCAAAGATACTTAACTCAATATGTTCAGTGATTTTAGCATAAACTTAGATTTTCATGCATTATTTAAACTTCCAAATAAGTATCATAGTTTAAATACACCTCATAGGAAATAAAACCTTTGGTATAAGGAGTTAGCCTGATGTTGGTAAAACATCTGGAAAATAGTCTTCTAAAAAGAAAACTGGTATCTCTAATTATCCTAAACTTCAGAAGTATCTATTAATATTTTGATATAACTGCTTTTAGATTTTGACCTATTAACATGAGTATATGATATGTGTATATGTGTAGATCATCTGGTGTATAGTTTTTTTTTGGTCTTTTTAGACAGGGTCTTTCTCTGCAGTTCAGGCTGCCTTGAGCTCACTTTGTAGCCCAGGCTGGTCTTGAACTTCCAATGATCCTCCTGCCTCAGCCTCCAGAGTGTTGGGATTACAGGCGTGAGCCACCACACCTGGCTCTGCTGTGTAGTTTTATGTGTGCTTTTAGACTTAGTATTGTATCATAAGAATTTTCCTTCCTTTATTATATTTATCCAGATGTGGCTCCTTGGTATTTAAGTTTTATTTTCTTGTTTTTATTTTTTTTCTTGCTGTGGCAGATACATTCTTGGCTTCCTATTTTCTGCTGTTTTGCTAAAAGAAGTGAAAACTCTTGAATTTTATATGCCTACTTCAGATCAGGCTACATTGACCAATTACTTAAAATTTTTAATTAAATGTTTGCAATGCACAGTGATTACATTCAGAAGCAAGAAGAGTGTAATTCCTAGCACTAACATGTCATGTGGTTACTTTTATGTGTCTTGAAACTAACTTTAGCTAAACCTGTTCAGGGTGACAGGATGTAGGACAGATAGGTTCCTGGCAGCTCTGGCTATGAGTAATTAGACCCACAAGACAGGAATTTTGGGCCTGCTTTGGGGTGAGTACACAGGAAGCAGAAGTAGCCAGGAATTGTCATTGTTTGTCAACAAGCCCAAGAGGCCTGCCTGAGTGAGCAGGGCATTCCTTTATATTTTCACTGGCACCATAGATTTAAATATGTATATATTAGAAACTCATTTCAAATTCACAGAGTGGTAAAACTTAAAATATTACAAAGAGCATGTTCATCCACTGTTACCCAGAGTTAGTTGCATTTTATTTAATTTTCTTAATATTCATGTTTTTCTCTCCTCTCACACATGACTCTTTTCTTAACAATGGGAAAATAAGCTACTTATGTCACAGATGATTTTAGTACATATTTCTCAAGAATATTTTCTGATGTAGCCACAATGCAGTCATCTTAATAAATTTATATTGATATTGATACACCAGTTTTGTTGATTGACCTAGTAATATCCTTTGTGGCATTTCTCTTCGGGAGTATAGAGTACAGTTAGACTCCTTTCATCTGGAACGTTTTCATAGCATTTCTTTGTTTTTTATGACATTGGTTTTATGATAAGGTTGTATCCTATCATTTTAAAACAAGAAACTTTCATTTTATATTTTTCTGCCATTTCTTTGTGATTGGGCTGACCTTATGTATCCCCAGCAATAAACCTGCATCAGGAAAGTTGTGTCTGTCGCAGGGTGTCACATCTGTAGGTACACGATGGCCAGTTGTCCCTGGCTGATTGTTAAGTTTGATCACCTGACGCTGGTGTTGCCTGGTTGGTTCACTCTGGTTTGGGTATTTTTTTCCCCTTGAAAGTAGGAAGTATAAATGGTGAGATATATACATTAAAACAACGAAAATACCTTTTTTCAGAATTCCTGTTAAAGATACCATTTACTGAGGATTTTTGTCTGATCCAATATTTTACTGTGAAAATTGCAAAATGCTGGTTTCCAGCTCTCCACTGCCCCTACATTCACTAGCCTTACACTCTAAGCAAGAGCCCCTTTTCTCTCCTTTTGATTTGTTAGTCTATTAGTGACACTTAGTAATCTTTGTTTTTCATTGGTTGGTATTACTGTGTCTACTATTTTGATGTCCAGATTGTCCTAGATGTGATCAGAAGGAGCCCCTTCACTACGGTTCCTTGTGCTCTTTGGTCCGGCCCCCATCATCCCATGGGTACTTTTTTTCCTTTTGGTATAAAATAATGTTTCAGGAGAATTTTATATCTACCCCACCACTGCCCTGGCACCAGTCATTTCCCGAAAGAGTCCTGGTTCCTTTCAGTGCTGTGTTCAAGAGTTGGTGCTTGGGCTGAGGATTTAGCTGAGCAGTTCAGGTGCTTGCCTGGTAAGTGTGAGGTGGTGAGTTTGATCCTGGGTAAAAAAAGAAAAAAAAAATCTGCTGTTGGCTGTGGTCGTTGTTCTGAGAGTACCTGGCTTCCTGATATTTTCATTTAGTTGAATCTATGCATACATAATACACATACAAGTGCATGTAAGCATACACATACTGGAAGCTATGCCTCTTCATATCCATGAGTTCTTCCTTCCCTTTCTTTCTTTCACTTTTTTATATCCCTTCTTTGTCTGTGAGAACCTTGGCTCTCTAAAACAGCAGTACATTTACTCATTTGCTCAGTTCTAACATTGATATTCTAAAATATCAAGTAGTTTCAAGAATTACTTTGGCCAAACCATGAAAATTGTTTGTAGTTTTCTCACTCACATACACTATCTTGCCAAGACAGGCTTGTGCTGTGTTCAAAATTTACTAGGATTGGCCCTCCCTCTCTTCATTCCTGTCTTCCTTCGTCATTGCTGTGGTTAGGTATTCACTTGAAATCTAATTAGGTTTATTTG